CTGAGCTTTTTTCAATATTTCATGTTTGGGGGTATTCCCACAACTCGGTTTGAGTTTATCCATGTTGAATCTGAAAAACAAAACACAAAAATAATAACTACAACAAAAATAAACTTACTGTAAAACTGTCCGGTATTAGGGGACTTTGAGAGTGTCCGAACTTAGGGACCCTTAAGTACATACAAGAAAAATTCTCATTCACATTATGTGTTATGAATCTTAAAAACACACCTGGGTTATATCAGATTAGTACAATAGCAATAATAATTATAACAATGATTATCATCCAATTCTTTAAATATTGTTTACAGAACCCAAAAAATTTCTTCAAACAAAATTTTTACTTACCTTAAAATTTGCTACACGCTCCACGCCGAACGAGTCAGCACTAACTATTGACACGCTCCCCCCACACTTCACTTGGGAAACGCTTTCTAACCACGACTCAAGCAACAAATTGGCGCGCTTTTTCGCACTGATTCAGATTCTGTCCGGCTTTAGGAGCCGTCCGGGCTTAGGGGACTTCCCCCGGATATGTATATATATATGTATATATACGTACATAATACATCAATGACAGGACAAATATAAAATACAGTAATACCCCGCTTTACGCGACCCCGTTATGCGCGGTTTCGCTTAACTCGAATTTCAAATTTCGCGTTAAAAAGCCTCGCATTACGCGATTCACTTACTTAAGAATATGTATGTACATAATGTAGTTATTGACTTCTCTTTGGTTGCGGAAATCCCCGTCCTACGAATTTTTTCTACCCATAGAAAAAATCCCCAGATTTCCTCGTTTTTTCGTTCGTTCCATATTTTTATCTCGGCTGGAAGTCGTGTTTTAACATTTGATGGAGATACAAAATTTAACGCTACGTTAAAAATGCCGCATATAAACAATAAAAAGAGCGTAAAAGCGTAACTTTGGAATTAAACGTGAAGGTGTTAAGAAGAATGGAAAATGGAGGCTTAGCAACAATTGTTGGTAGAGATTCTGGCCTCTCACAAAGTGCAACAAAACTTTCTCGTACGAAATCTTCATTTTGAATAAAACTATTATTTACGGATTTTATCGCGTTTAATATCTTTAATTTATTTTTATTATTATCCCGACGTTTCGGGTGCTTTACAGCGCCCATGGTCACGGGGGGTACTGAGATGTTTGACGTCCCAATGTCATAGTTAGTCCGGCTACCTTCAGTTTTTTAATATTAATTTTTGGTCCGATTTACGCAAAACGAGCTTATAGTATCATGAAGTCTTGCAGTGGTATGTTTGGGTTTGGGTTTAATTTTGTTGATTATAGGATCCCAAGCAGATGGTAGCACCCAACCATCTTCTCTATTGAAATTTGGATGTTTTTTAATTTCAATAGCCTCGCGTATCATCCTTGGTAGGTATCGGTGTTCTTTTGCGAGAATTTGTGGTTTATCAAATCTAATGTAATGGTGGGGACGATCTTGAACATGTTCGCAGACTGCAGACTTCCCGGAGCGTCGGTGCTTCACATCAGCTATATGTTCCTTCACGCGGGTTTTTATAGATCTCTTTGTTTGACCTATGTAAGAGAGACCACATTCACAATCTAGCTTGTACACACCTGCATCTTGTAGAGGAATATTACATTTGATGGATGGTAAAAATTGACTAATCTTCTTCAGCGGCTTGTAGTATGTCTTAATGGACGCTCGCTTCAAGATGTAGCCAATCTTGTCCGTGACTCCTCCAACATATGGTAGTAGAGCAGGTGCGCGCTCGACTGTTGCCGGCTTCACTCGTTCACTGTGACGTAGGCGCGGGACCCGAAGCTTGTTGTCTTGCAATACTTGCTTGACGTGCTGAAGCTCCGCGGCCAGATGTTTTCTGTCACAGATCCCTCGTGCTCTCTGAAACAAAGATTTACCCACGGTAGCTAACTGTGAAGGATGATGGTGAGATTCACCATTTAGATATCGGTTGGTATGGGTCTTTTTCCTATACACAGTGTGACCCATAGGAAAAAGGGGCGTCCAAGTATTGCTTACGTAATACTTGGACGCCCCCTTAAAAATCTTGTGGTGTTTTCAGTAATATCTCTTTGTATTTCTCAAGCTTGACATTGTTATACTGTAATACTTGACTGCAAAGTCAGTAAGTCCTGCATGGGGCAATGTACAGTTATATAATAAAAAACTGCGGTTGCCAACCCGCTCGCCAAGCGTGGCAACTATGGCAAATATCCCCCCATGAATAACGACGCAAACAAACGGCCCCCAGTCCCCGGCGGCCCTGCTATTCCTGGCTACGGTGGCGACCATGGTAACGGGGGGAAGGGGGTGCTAAGAATCTCCGGTGGAGGTTCGGTTGCCACCTACGACGACTTGACCTGGCAACATACAACGCACGCACCCTGAGGACTGACGAGAAGATACTGGAGCTGGAAGAAGAGGTACACAAGTTGCGCTGGCATATTATTGGATTATCCGAGGTCCGAAGAGAGGGGGAGGACACGGTAATCCTCGAGTCCGGCAACTTGTTCTATCACCGGGAGGGCGACCATCTGTCCCAAGGAGGTGTCGGATTTATCGTCCACAGGTCTCTCGTCAATAACGTAAAGATTGGAAGTGTGTCGACGAGGGTCGCGTACCTGATGCTCAGAATCACCAAACGGTATTCGCTGAAAGTCATACAGGTTTACGCACCAACCTCGGCACATCCCGATGAGGAGGTGGAGGAAATGTATGAGGATATTTCCAGAGCCATGCATTCCTCCAAAACGTGCTCGTGGTAACTGTCCATGCGGTCGGAGCTAAGTTCTGCAAGACCCGCCGCAGAAGAACACAAAAACTCTCCGATCATACTCTTAATCTCATGGCTGTTAGACGGGAGATGAGGCTGCAATTGTCAACAGATTTGGCAGCATACAGGCAACTGAACAGACAGATCTCCAAATGCATGCGGCGAGACTTACGCAAATTTAATACTGCTCGTATTAAGGAAGCGATCGAGCGGAATCAGGGCTCCAAAGTCTTTGCCAGAGATCTGTCTGCCAGAAAGAGCCAACTGTCAAAGCTGAAGACTGAATGTGGCAGCATCGTTTCCGGGACACCTGAGATTTTGAGTGAGATTGAAAGCTTCTATGGGCAGCTGTACACATCATCGTTGGAACAACACGCAAGTGTGAGTAACGATTCAAGAGCAAGTCTTATCCGTCACTATTTCGATGATATCCCGGACGTCAGTCTGAACGAGATTAGAATGGCTCTCCAGTACCTTAAAAACGGCAGGGCCCCAGGCGAGGATGGAATTACAGCGGAGCTTCTGAAAGCGGGTGGAACACCGGTACTTGAAGTCCTTCAGAAGCTCTTCAATTCCGTCCTCCATGGTGGCACTACTCCGGAGGCGTGGAGCAGAAGTGTGGTGATCTTGTTCTTTAAGAAAGGCGACAACGCTCTCTTGAAGAACTACAGACCGATTTCCCTTCTGAGCTGCGTCTACGTGCTGTTTTCGAGAGTCATTACGAATCGTCTCGCACGCAGACTCGACGACTTCCAGCCTCCCGAACAAGCCGGTTTCCGAAAAATCTTCAGTACCATAGACCACATACATACCCTTCGGCAGATTGTACAGAAGACCGAAAAGTACAATCTGCCACTTTGCCTGGCGTATGTGGACTATGAGAAAGCCTTTGATTCCGTCGAAATTTGGGCGGTGCTACCGCTGAATGGCAATGGGCCGGCCATATAGCTCGAAGAACCGATAACCGATGGGGAAAAAAGGTTCTAGAGTGGCAGCCTCGTACCGGCAGGCGTAGTGTAGGGCGACCCCCCACTAGATGGAGTAACGACCTGATAAGACATGCAGGAAGTCGATGAATGCAGGTGGCTCAGGAACGTGCTTTGTGGCATTACTTGGGGGAGGCCTATGTTCAGCAGTGGACTTGTGAAGGGCTGTAATGATGATGATGATGATGTACAACTTGTTACCTATGTTGAATAAAAAATCATCTACTCTGCTTTGTGAAATTTGTCACTAGTACAAGCGCTTCACATGCGTTTCAAATTGAAGAATCCCCGACATTCATTAATTCATGACAGCCCATCGAAAGTTCTAGTAGATTCTTTTAAACAAGAGTGACAAACGAGAACACAGTCCACTTGTTGGAGTTGGTAAGATGACGTAGCCCGTAGAGATCTACATCTATCCTCAATTAAGAATCAAAATGCAAATGTGTTCTCAATCCGGAAGACTTAAAATAGAATGTCTAGTTTCTTGTAAAAAAGGTCTTCGGTTTACTACACACATCATAATAAGAAACATAGCAGAATTAGGCTGCTATGTGACTATGGTAGGTATTTCGTGTGTGCGTGTTTCTTCCCTGGCCTGAATATTGCCAAGCAGAGAAAATAAATAAAAATCCACTCAAGTTATTCCGATAAAATATAACCTAAATCACTCCTGGCACTGCTCTCCATATGTTAGTAAAGTTTCATTACAATCAGTTCCGCCATTCCGAAGATTAGCCTGGATAGAAAGGCAGACAGATAATTTTTTTTAAATGTTTACTCAAGTCTTAATGGCATGCATATAAATCTCTCAGCTCATTAAGAAGCAGTTTTTTCGATACTATATACTGATACAAAAATTAGAATAACAAAATTCGTACATTTATTCCTAAAGAACCTAAAAATGTGCACAGAGTCGATTTTAAGTGGTTTTTAATGTAATGTAAGTATTTTTTTTAAATATTTTTCAAGGTAGTGATACCCACTACCCACGCCTACGATCCCCACACCATTTAACTTTGAATTCCAGAACAACCTGTTTAATGTACGCCAATCTTTATCAAGTTGCCTAATGTGCAGCAGATTCTAATGAAATGCATGTAACAGTATAGTGGAGATTTAAATACAATAGTAACTAGTACTACTACTTTTATTTTCTAAATTGATCCTTTAGAAGAGCATCCTGGGAGATGGTCCTAAATTAAAATCTATATTTTTTTCTTTAATTAGTATCATTCAGATTCTTCAAGCAGTTCATCACAGTCAGATAAATGGGTGGAAAAAGATACAGGTACAAAAAGAGCATCAAATAATCGTGAAGATTGGATGTCAATGACTGGTATGTTGAAGACTTACACTAAAGATGACATTAAAACTAGCCGTGAAGAAAAGAATAAAAAGCATATTGATTCCTACAATCCTTCAACAAGCTCCAGAGAACTCAATCCTTATTGGAAAGATGGTGGCACTGGCCTGCCGGAATCTTATAAAACATATAATAAATTAAAACCATTTCTTAAACCTTCAGATGATGATGACTATTATACAAAATCATTAAGTCACGTGGCTACAAAAGATATAAATTCTAAATATAAAAACAATGATGACAAAAAAAAGAATAGCGATGAATATAGTTTTAAGAAATCATATAATTGGCGAAAAGATGAGAGTAGGAAAGAAGATATAAGTGATGCAGACAGTGTACATGGTTCAAAAATAAGTCCCAGTCAGAGTTTTGCAACTCCTCAAAAAGATAAAACTAGGAAAGATGTGATGTATCTTAGTGATGAAAAAATGAATAAATTGGCAGCAAAAATTGTAAAAGCAGAAATAATGGGTGATATGAAATTAGTAACTGAGTTAAAGGCTAAGTTAGAAGCTGCAAGGGAGTATAGAAAACAAAACCCTAATGCGTGTAAAGTTGATGTTGATGATGGAGTATTGCTGATGACTACAACCAGCACAGGAAATAGCAGGCCTTTGTCAAAAACAGACTCATTTATTATAGCTGACCCAAGAAGCAAAGGTGGTAAAAGAAAAGCAGAAACACATAATTCTAATCAAAGAACTAAGTACTTTGGAAATGATGATAAATATAATCTGTCACAAATGGTGAGTAATATGAACATTTTTGAATACTTAAATACAATATGAAGCTAAGGAAAATTTAATTTAAATTAGAAAATTAAATATCTTTAATTAACTGAGAATTCATCAAAATCAGTACCTATTATTATTTTTTATAAAACAAACAAAAAAATGCAAACTTACCCAGCACCAATAAAAAAATTTATTGCAATTTTAAGTGCTGTTTTACTACATGATCGTTAGTGAAGAAAAAACATTGTAAGGAAACATTCTAAGGAATAAAATATTTCGATGATATGTGTCTGTCAACCAGCACCGAAGCAGCGCGGTGAACTGATTGCTGCATAACTTTCAGAAATGTGAGAAATTTTGTGCCAAGTAGTGTTTAATTTTTTGTTTAACAAGTCCTTATATATATATATATATATATATATATATATATATATATATATATATATATATATATATATATATATTTTAATTTGGAAAGGGAGGCATTGAAATATGACAAGACTATAAACTAACAACTATAAATAAAAATAACCGTGTACACCTTTGGTTTAATTCGGTCTGGCTAGCCTTATTACAATCGTATACACCAGTCTATATACAACAATTGCTTAAAATGGACTTAATAATATAAATGTTATGCTTATTAAGTATATTGATTGATGATTGCAGTAGTACATACCATATATATCACATCAGCGACTTAAATATTATTTCTATCAAAATAAAAAATTGTATTGTTTTGCAGTTTGAACAAGAGAAGTATGGCACAAACTATGATCAAGATGCCGAATTAGCCACAATTGCAGCTAAACATAGAAATCCAAATGATGATCTAGAAGATATTTTTGTTGATGAAATATCAAAGAATAAAAATGCAGCTAAGGAAAGTGAAAAAGAAAAGCAGCGGGCAATAAGTCAAAGCATGAAATTAGAGAGATCATTAGAAGGATGTGAATATTGTATTGACTCCAAAAACATGTTAAAACATTTAATTGTGAGCCATGGAAATAAAGTCTATATGGCATTACCAGCAAGAAAGTCTCTTGTTAAAGGACACTGTATTATAACAACTCTTCAACATTCCACATGTGTTACTTCTTTAGATGAAGATATTTGGGAAGAAATATTGGTATGTATCTCGAAACCAACTTTTCAACAAAAATTTTTGGCTTTGTAAAGGCAAATGGCAATGGCAAATGGTGGCAAATTATATAAAAAATCTCTCACCAACTCAACATTCCACTGGTTGATATGGTCATAATACCTTTCAACATATAATGCAATGGCAGCTGAGACACTTGTGAAGGGGTTTATGTTTACGTAATATGTTACTTCATTTACTATCTGAATGATTTAATTATTCATGATTGTTCATTCTATTTTGAAGGTATTTTGATAATTATCAAGTGTTATAATAATTAATTTTATTAAAAAGTTTTACAATCTTTTCAGGATTACCGGAAAATTATTACGCAGTTCTTTAATTCTCAAAATAAAGATGTAGTGTTTTTCGAAACTGCTACAAAGTTACACAGATACCCACACATGGTAATAAATTGTGTACCTTTACCAAGAGATGTTGGAGATATGGCTTCAATATATTTTAAGAAAGCCCTCCTGGAGTGTGAGGCAGAATGGTCTATGAATAAAAAAGTTATTGATTTGAAGGGTAAAAATATTAGAAAAGGTGTTCCAAAAGGATTGCCATACTTTTGGATTGATTTTGGGATGGACCCTGGTTTTGCACATGTTATAGAAGATCAGCAATTGTTTCCAAAGTCATTTGCAGAGGTGAGTCTCTTTATTTTTCAGATATACTAATACTTAGTTTTATTTGTGCTAAGAATGTAATAATGAACATATCAGCGCAGCATACAGGCGTGGTAGACGTTTATTATGTACATGCAAGTGTCACATTCAGAGGGATAGCAAAAAGCCATTTTGTCATTTACATACTCAGTTATCAGTGTTACATTAAGGACATCACTAAATCACTATATTCATTATGACCACTGTTACCCATTTATTTCACAAGTTTCTTTCGCTCATGCTTAAAAGAAGAATGTAGCCACATTGGGGCCTGTAGAGTGGCAAAATAAATTAGGTTTGGCAGCACTTTTCGTGATGGGGGCTTAATGTATAACCAGATTGTATATTACTTAGTCGGGTCATAAGTTCTGTCAAAACATTATTTAAATTTTTTGAATACTGGCTAGTTCAACTACACCAATTTTAAAAATATAACGTTTACGCTTTCCGAAAATAAAAGACATTAATTTTCATTCATTTTTAAATATGGAGTGGTCGAAGATAGAAGAGAGAGTAGCAGTTATCGCAGTGTACCGCTGTGGTTACGCGCCAAAAAAGATTTTCAATATTCTACAAAAATTGAAAATAACCCTACGAATTGTTCCCTACCTACCCTACGAAATCTTTTAAGACTTTAAACCACATTCAAGCTGCTTCGAAGATCTAAAGAGGACCGGCCGACCTCGTAGTTAAGACACCCGCGATCATCAAAGCAGTGGAAGGCGCGAATCCAATGAAATCCTATCCGTAAACAAAAAATCTTGACCTTAATCTGGGCCTAAGCAGAACCATGGTCAAAAGAATGATCAACAAAGACCTAGTACTACGAGCTTATCGTAAAAAGACCGGACAATTTGAACGAGCGTTTAAAAAAAAATAGGCTGAATAAGTCCCGCGCTTTGCTACGCGTGAAAAATACCGCGAATTTTTTTTTGATGTGATTTAGATAAATTTTGTTTTTAATATCGAAGGAAGTTATAATAAACAAAATGATAAGATGTATGCCCACAGCAGTGAAAAAGCCAATACGCGTATTCCAAAGATTCAACCAGTATATTATCCTGCGTCACCAATAGTTTGGCTTGGAGTCTCATATTCAGGCTTAACTGAGGTGTTTGTCTGTGAAAAAAAAGTGTAAAAACTAGTGCGGAAGTGTACCAAAATACCGTCCTAACAAACATAGTGGAACCTCTTTCTCAAACAATGTTCAAAAGTAGACATTGGATATTCCAACAGAACTCTGCACCAGCTCATGGTGCACAAAGCATGTAAAACTGGTTGACCACCCATGGAATTGACTTAATCGGACATGAAGACTGGGCCCTTTTCTAGTCCAGATTTAAGCCCACTGGATTAAAAGATATGACAACATTTGGAGGAGTTAGTCTTCGCTAAACCTCATCAGAATTTGGAATCTCTCCGAGCATCTTTGGCTAAAGCAGCGACAGAAATAGATATGTTGTGTGGTGCCTGCTGCGATTGATGATTGGCCGTGTCGATTAAGGGCATGTATTCAAAATAGGGGAGGGTATTTTCAATAATTTAAAACAAACTGTTTTCTAAATTAAATTACGTCTGATTTCATATTTCTTATATAATTATCAAAAAGTGTATCATTAATTTTATAAAAAGTTTTTGACAGAACTTATGACCTGACTGAGTATATGTGTTAACATGTATTTGTATAATTTGGGGCTTCAAAGGTATATTGAATTTGTGTGGCTATAGTAATGATATTGTCAACACTTCATCTCTGGTTTGTCTGAACTTAACCTCAACGCACATCATTTATATGACGTAGACTTCAGCAAACTACTTCATTTGGAAGGGGTTACAAGTTACAACATATGTATAATCAATACCTCTGATGTCAGATCTATGTACCAGGGGAATTCCAATTGTATGACATATTGTAAATAAAACTGGTATGAAGATAATGTGTGACATTAAAATTTTGTTTATATAAAAAGCTTATAAATCAAGTTATTTCCATTCATACTATTTTTAGCAAGAGAATATTTATTTAAATATTTATCTTAGTGATATTTTTTGCAGGAAATTATTGGTGGCATATTAGATTTAAATCACAATTTATGGAAGAACCCACAAAGAGAATACGGGGATGTGCAGAGAAAGAAAGTTTTAGAATTTGTGAAAGAATGGAAACCATTTGAAACAGCAATGAAAAATAAAGTATGATTTACATATCAGTCTTTATATTATTATACTAGCTATTCTCCGCGAATTCGTTCGGGTGGAATTTATTACGATTGAGGATTTCATGGATTTTAATTTTTTGCGCGAAATCCTAAAAGTAGCCTCAGTGAAAAGTAACTCCTTATAACATCAGCTATCTGCCAATTTTCTTAATCTGGAAATTTCCGTCAAAATCTGCCCTCCTATTTCGCAGATTACCTGGAACATAAGGCCAAAAATTTTAAAAATAGATTTTTTTATTAGTGCCATATTATACTGGTGACCTTTTGTACCGTCTGGAATAGAAATAGGGTGTAACATATGAACGGAGTTGAAGCTTATAGCACTGATATTTTACATAATTTGTAAACAAAATTTTTTTCAGACGTTTAAAATTTGAAAAAAAATTTTTAGTATTTACTTTGATAAAAGATGCCTACTAAATTTGTTTTATTACCATTCGTAAAGTGGATTGGATATGATTTGAATTTCGATAGATTTTAATTTATTTATTTGATTCATAATTTTTGTTTTTATTTTAAAAATTGTAAAATATCAGTGCCATAGGCTTCTACTCCCTTCGTTACACCCTATTTTTTCTCCAGACAGTAAAAAAGGTCACCCAAAGGTCACATATACTTTCATATGAATGTAGTAAAATGCTGTTATTTTGACAATTCAATTTTATTTATTTGTATATATTATTTCCACCAAAATTGAATATATTTTGTATTTGTTTAATACAAATTGCAGTAGTGTAGCTGACCTTTGTGTCCCTTGTATAAAACATCTTTTAGTATCCCCGGTTTGGTAAATTTTCCACATGAATACGGAACATGTTGGAGCTCCTTTATTTATGAGTTGCAGCAGAAATACAGATGAACTAAAGAGAATTAAGACTTTAAAATGCAGTAAAACATTTTATAAACAAATTTTATTCACAATCATAACCCTTGATCTTCTTTCAACATTTCTTCTATTAATCTCTGCCTTTCTGCTGCCTGTCGCATTTTAGTCAAAACAATAGATTCATAATCTCTTTCAGATACCAGTGAAGGTCCACTTTTTGTTGTTAATACTGGTTTATCATTCAACCATTTCAATGTAAGGGGATTCTCAGGTAGACCTAAAACAAAAAGAATAAATGTTATATTACTATTTGTGATACAGCAACAATGCAGCTATTATAGTTGCAGCATGAACCGGGCAACTAAATTAATCACACTAACAGAATATCACCTTAAAATAACAGCATAATGCTTGTGTCATAAAATAAGGCTCTTGTTAACAGTAATCTAGAACAATAATAAAGAGACTGCTTTTGCTAGTAACAAAGCATTTCTTGTTAGTCCTCATGGATAACAATTCATCTGCATTTTAATCAAGGATAGGTGATGTGAAAAATTTTCACTGAGATACCCCACCTTCTAATTCTTGCGAAGCTAAGGGCGTTCTAGTCATAGTTTGGTCACTCACAATGTACTGAGAGGATGCCCACATAGCTGGCCATAGGTGACTGCGCAGGGGAGAAGGGGTGAAGTGTTTATTTGCAAATCAGGCAAGACCACACCACTGGGATGGTGGGGGAGGAGTCGCGTAGGGAGAGGAAGCACAAAATCCTCTGCTCGGGAAGTTGGTACTTCCATTTGCTCGTTTTACTGACCTACATAACCTTTATATATGAATATTGAATTAACATTTCAAAACCAATGTAGAAGAAACTATTACTTAGTGTGACCTAAGTTTGATTTCAATTTGTCAATTAATAAAGTGTTTTCCAGACCGAATATGGGTCACGACGGCGACTTAATGGAGACTAACCATCTTTGCAAGATAGGATTATAGTGCCAGAGTGTATGCGCTAATACACTAAGAATACACTATGCAATTTTTATAAAAAACTTAAGTATCCAATATCTTGAAAATTGTTAAGTTTGGGGGTATGGTGCTTCATAGTCGAAACAGTCGATAATGATGCAAACTACAACCTCCTAAAGAATGAGGTCGCCTTAACCTGTAATCCTGTATACATCCTGTGAATTAATTAAAATTTGTTAGTTGTTTTTATGTTATAATAAAAAACTCTTGGTGTAATTGATCACCAGGTGATGGTTATATAGTGTCATCATTTGAAAAGTTGCATTTCAAATAAAAGTTTTCGGTTTCAAATGTATGTATTTACACAAAACAATGCTCCAGTGCTGTATACTTTATTTTTTTACACATTTTTAACTTTTTGAAGTGAAAACTTCTTTAGAATCGTTGTGACACTAAAGAGAGACAAACATACATCTATAGGACAGCCTGCGAGAGAATGAGATAAAATAAAAATAGTGAATAAACACAAACACTATACAGTTTTTCCTATTATCTCGATGTCCCCTTCTGAAGGTTTCACTTCTAATGCAATGTTTTTTTTTTTCATTAGAATTATAAAAATTAGAATAATAAAAGAAAAACTATTACAGGCTATGTGAGGCATTCCATCTTAGTCCTCAGATGTGACATCTCTATTATTCTTTATTTGATGTTAGCTATAGGTGTCCATTTGTTGCAGTAACCACTTACTGCACTGTATGTTTGTTTGTCACTTTCAATATTATTTTTTAAAAACTTTATGTTATTATTAATAAGCACAGACAATGATTAGCTCATCTTATAAAAATAACACAATCATTTCTGGTTGTTGACATAGATTTGGAAAAAAATAGCACATTTATTACAAACAAATTAAAAACATGCATAGCATATTACAGAAATATGCATGAGAATATGACAGTCCCACTAATGAGGGGTACCAAGATGAAATTCAGTTTTTAGTGGTAAAAATATAAATGTTTCATATCCAAATTTCCAGCCACATTTTTACGAGCAAAATTGAATTAATGTGTTTTACTAAAAAATGGCCCAGAGTCAGAAACATTTTAATAAAACGAGATGAAACTTTATGATTTCAAGTGTTGTATAAAACTGTAACTTTAAATAGCATTTATGGATCAAGGTTGACTAACTTTAACAGTCAAAGAAAGAAGTGGTCGCCCACTGTCGGAAACCTGCTAGTAGTGAAAAATTTTATTGAAGAAAATCTATTGGCAAACATTACATACGAGGCGATTCAGCACATATTGCAGATTGGGTTGGATGGGTTCACGAGATTTTACACCATCAAGATTTAATCCATCTTACTAAAATTACAATCAACGGTTATAAAGCAGGGTATCATCTGTAAATTGATATAATTTACAATATGTTGCTGTTATCTACATTTTCTCAAATTTGAGGTCCATCTAGACAGGTTGTTTCCACCATCTTTAGCAAATGTGCTTTCTATAAAAAAAATAACAATACATATTTTTAAAACTACTGACTGAACCAACCTTTTATTCACCAATTAAATTTTATTTCAAGTACTACCTACTCATCTTTAACCCCTTGTTGGCCGGCCGGCCATTTGCAAATAATGCACATCTGCTAAGGCATTAGCAGATAATTTCCGTTATATCGGCGCGTGGCGATTAAATTAGTAATTTCTCCAAAATATTGTATGGGAGCTACGTATAAAACTTATGTCATTTGAATTGTTACATTATTTGCTATTATTCTGTACTTATCTTAGTTGAATACAACCTAATAGATTTTATTGAGCCGATTTCAAAGTTAGAAAACCGATTTCTTTTTAGTATTTTGTGCATAATTTGTGAAAATTAAACAGAAAAATCATTCATTTATAAGATAAATGTAATTTATTTTCATAAAAAAGCAAAAAACCACACATCCCTATATATTTTTTACACCAAAAGTTTTTTACAATCTTAACATATGAACGGCAACCCAAACGTCGCACAAAAATAGCATATATTGTTACTTTTATTTTGAGAAAGGAGCGAGTCAAGTGGCATACAATAATTTTAACGTTAAGTATGTTTCAAGTTCTTAATTTAGACAAAGTTTCATTTCTAAATAGTATGTAATGTATTTTTAAATCAACAATAGAGATAAATGTAAGGTAAGTAGGTATAACGGCCATTTATGTTTGAATTTTTTTTTTAATAAAAAGGATCATCATCATTACAGCCCTTCACAAGACCACTGCTGAACATAGGCCTCCCCCAAGTAATGCCACAAAGCACGGTCCTGAGCCACCTGCATCCATCGACTTCCTACATATCTTACCAGGTCGTCACTCCATCTGGTGGGGGGTCGCCCTACACTACGCCTACCGGTACGAGGCTGCCACTCGAGAACCTTTCTAAAAAGCCCTTAATAAAAAGGATACATATCCCTAAATTATGAATTAAAAACTGTTGGTTATTAACCCTTCCATGTTAAAAGTACCAAACTTCACTATTTGTTTGATTTACGAATAAAAAAAGGGACAATAACCGGGACAGGCGAACACATAAAAGTGACATTCACGTATGACTGCCACACAGGCTGTTTATTCGAAATTTCGAAACATTGTAGTACTTTAGTAGCTTTGTATCGCATCCTCTTTCTTTAGTGTATAATTTTATATAAATTGTCGCCGGTTATTTTACCCGCCAAATACCCAGGTGCGGATCGGCCAGAAATTGGTCGCTTGCCACAAGCGCGTAATTAACCATAGGCCAGAATCTGGCCGGTCGCCAGACAAGGGGTTAAATTTATATATAACTAGTGATCCGCCCTGGCTTCGCACGGGTGATTGCTGGATATCGATAACAGCCATCTACTGAGTCCAAAATAATATAAACCATTTAGAGACCCATTTAGACAAAATTTTTTATCAAAATCGGTTGGATGATTTCAGTCTATAATAGACATAGGTAGAAATATTTTTTGTGTTTTATATAGACAGGTTATTTTAACAAATATTTTTAAAAGGGATGGTAAAATTCTGCAATAACTATTTACCTTTCTCTAAGTCTACAGCCATTTCAGATGCTTCCTTAGTTGAGAATTCTACCAGTGCACTACCTTTTTTCTTAGGGGAAATAATTAGAGCTGATATATCACCATACTTCTTAAGGAATTTTCTTAGAGTAGCTTCATCATAACCACCATTATTTAAATCACTCTTATCAGCTTTCCATTTAATTTTTATTCTATTCAGGCTGGGATCCCAAAAAGGTTCAGTATGTCTAGCCTTACTCTTATGAATTTCTTCTTTCATTCTCTGCTGTTCTTCTTGTAGAAGACGGCTACCTTCTTTTTGTAACCTTTTAATTTCGGCAGCTAATTTTTGTTCATCCGTGAAATTAGATTCTCTTCCTGCAGCAGCTTCTCGCTCACGTCTTTCTAGGTCCTCTTTTAATTTCTGTCGCTTACTATCTAATTCTTTATGCCTTAGTTTTGCAGCAGCTTTTGCTTTCAGCACTTTATCGTATGCTGCTCTGGCCAAAGTATCGGTTAATATTTCGAGAGCCCTAGACAACTCATGGAATGTTTCTGCTGCTTTTGGATCATCAGGATTTTTATCCGGATGACACTGCAGAGCTTTCTTACGATACGCTTTTTTGATCTAAAATAAGTTATACGATTAGTAAATAAGTCGCAAAATTTAATAATAAAAGAATTTAATGAAAATGACATACTTCCGATTCTGTTGCAGTGATTTGTACATCTAATATTGCATATAAATCTACATCTTCGATATTCTTCGTAGCCATTTTTTATCTTTAAAACTAAATAAATATTTATTGTTATTCAATGACATAAAATAAACCAAGTTACAATGGGTGCGTTCGGCAGAAAAAAGCGCTAGCAAGCGCTTGTAAGGAAAATGGCGATCGTAAGCGGTAAGCGCTATCAAATCGTAAGTAGCTATTTTCCTCTAGGACACGATGTTAGTTTTAACCGCGGAACCTAATCTAATTTAAATATATTTTTGTGAAGTATTCATATTAAAAACTTACCAATCATGAATTTTAATAACATGTAGGTATATGTCTATTCATGTCATTATATTACTTAAAACTAATATTGCAAAAAAACAACTTACAAACTCTTTTTCAAAACAAACAAATTAAATAAGCAAAATAGCGGATTGTGTCAGCGCTACTGAAGTAGCAATCGTGTCCTGGCCGAAAACTATTTTAGCGCTTGTAAGCAAAATGGCTATCGTAAGCGGTAAGCGCTGTCAAATCGTAAGTAGCTATTTTCCTCCAGGACACGATGTTAGTTTTAACCGGGGGAATCTAACCTAATTTAAATATATGTTTGTAAAGTATTCATATTAAAAACTTACCAATCATGAGTTTTTAATAGCATGTATATGTTTATTCAAGTCATTATATTACTTAAAACTAATATTGCACAAAACAACTTATAAACTCTACGTCAAAACAAATAAATTAAATAAGCAAAATGGCGGATTGTGTCAGCGCTACTGAAGTAGCAATCGTGTCCTGGCCGAAAACTATTTTAGCGCTTATAAGCGCTTGCTAGCGCTTTTTTCTGCCAAACGCACCCAATGTGTAGGTAGGTAGTAGCACAGACTACTAAGAGGATACTAGAAGGGTATTAGTGTTCTGTGATACAAGTATTACGCAAAACGCATGGTAGTAGGTACTCTGTGAAATGAACCACAAACTAACTATAATCATAGATGCACTTACACTCGTCAGACAGACATCTATGGTACCTGTCTACGGTACGGGACCATGAAGGTTAGAGAAAAGAAGAACGATCGCCGTAGAAAATAGTGTCCCAAAAATATGGACACCATAAGTGAGGCGCTGCGATCGATAAGTTCTCTAAATAAAAGTCATTTTCAGTCTATTTTTCCGATCAGATGCTAAACCACTTGCACATCCACGCACAATAAAATATTTCTCCATTTTTTAATGTTAGTGCCGTAGTGCATGGTCCAAACCATGAAGGTTAGAGAACAGGAGAACGATCACTACGAACTAAAGTATAGCCCGCCTGTCCTTGAAAATTGTAGAATGTATAGCGGTGCTGACGTCGGTGAGTAGTGACTGCGAAGTTAGCTGTTTATGAGCACAAGTAGATGTAGTTAGTTGAATAATGTACAAATTTTCATATCATTTTTAATGAAAAAAATTTCATGCTCCGTAATTTTTTAATTTTTGACAAAAAGAAACATTAAAAAAATAGAGAAATATTTTATTATGCGTGGATGTGCAAGTGGTTTAGCATCTGATTGGAAAAATAGACTGAAAATGACTTTTATTGACCGAACTTAGTGATCGCAGCGCCTCACTTATGGGGTCCATATTTCTGGGACACTATTTTCTACGGCGATCGTTCGCCTGTTCTCTAACCTTCATGGTTTGGACCGTACAGCAAATTATAACATAATATAATAGAACATGAGCATGACATTTGTTTTTTTCTTAACATAAATCGGTTCTAGGCAAAAGTATAATTTTATTTCAACCAAGCATGATTTAGTACCCTTGCCATTTAATTACTAATTTTTTATTATTATTTTATTATGAAAAAGGAGAATTAATAGAAATAAAATGCAGTGTATATTATTTATAATATGATTTATTTTTAGTTTTTTTGTACTTGTTCAACGCTTTTTTTGCATTGGTGGCAATGTAGGTCTTATATTATCAATATTTGAAACATCGCTCTTACGCAGTTAATTTGTAACTTCTATTTAACTTTGATCTACCCTAATTTATGTTTACTGTTTTATTATATTGTTCTGTGTGATTTATTTTAAATTGTATGAATGTACTCATGTAAGTTACATTAGTCTTAATTAGTAAATAAAGATCTTTAAACCGATGTACGCTTTTCGTTTCTAATTATGTCCGTGCCCTTCAGAATCCTATTAATTATGTTGCATCAGTTGAAAATGCTCAGTTTAATAGAAAACATTAGAAAATATTCAAGAATAATGTTTTTATGGCTTTTACATTTAATGAATTCAAATAGATACTTGGTTTTTATATGTTTTTTGATTTTTTAGGTTAAATTTTCGTTGTAAGCACAATATTCCAAGTATCTATTTGTTTCTTTTATTATTGAATTAAAATGCCTCACAGCATATTTTGAGGGATAGGTCAACTTTCTTCGCTTAATTATTTTATATTCTCTTTGTGAGATCCATTTATGTACATTACCATCTACTTTAGTACATAAACTGGCCTCATATTCTTGGCAATTTATTTGCTAAGTATTTTTTTTATAACCTATCCAGTGGTATATGCTGTTGAGTGGACATTTAATCGCTCCCTTGCTGCCTGCACTTGAATATTTTCGGTAGAAAGATTCTCTTCAATTCATCCAATATTCTGTTTGATATTGGATGTATTACAGTTTATCTCTTCAGATCGCTTTCTAAATAAAGACTGCAAATTTATCAACTGATAGCAAGTATCATCTTCGCAATTATAGGGTTCTGAATGAAATTTAATGAGGCCTGTTATCAATAAAGATTTGAAAGTACTGATGAAAATGTGGCAAGTTTAATCTTTGTTACGAAAATTATACGACCTCACTCGCCCAAAAAAAGTTTTCAATGGGATCTGAATTGAAATACCGAGGTCGCATGATTTTTACATTTTTTTTTTGTGTAACACTTGCCACACCCTTTCGTAACTTTTAATTGTTGTAAGCCAATTTTTTAGTGTAGGCACTGACTTTTCATTGCCCTTGTCAATAAATTTCATTTTGTCAATTTTTGTCTTTGCATCCTTCCAAAAGTTGTGATGCAATGAGTTGTCAGTAACAGCCTTCCTTAAAGGTTTTTCACCACATTTCTTGTGATCAAGAGAAGAGCCATCTACACTATAGAATAAATCATCCATGTTTTTTAAAGTTTTGCTAACTGGCCTGCCATCAGTGTAGTGAGCTGAAAGAAGGAATATTTAAATAAATCATAAAATAAAAGTAGTTAACTATTAATATGGGTGCTAATTACATTTCAATGGAAGGTCTCTTATTTCCGGGACAGTTTTATTAGTTTTTCTTTAGCTAGAGGCCATAGTAATCAGATAGTTACTTTTTTTATAGGATAGGGTGACAAACGAGCACACAGTCCACCTGATGGTAAGTGGTTGCTGTGGCCCATAGATATCTACATCTATCCTGAAATACGAATCAAAATGCAGATGCGTTGTCAATGTTGTTGTTGTTGCAAATGAACCTCCCGTTCCCGTTAGCCCACTCTACTCTATGAGTTATGTATTATTTTTATCGTCGTTGGTATATTTTTTTTGCTATGTATAAAGATAAATTTTCTATCGGACATCTGGCAAATGTCGAAGCCGATAAGTCCGTATCACTTGATGAGTAAATCACCGCAACAATGTGTTGTATACACAAAATTTTCTGTAATATATCTTGTATTACATACTGCTAGTATTTAATTTTGGAGATAATTTAACAGGTTAAATACATTGACATAAATATTACTAGCGTAATTGAATATAAACTGTAGAGACTACAATGACAACCAATTGCATCTAGTTTATCGTTAGTTTCAGCACCCTTACTAACGAGTTCTTTTTCTAATCTATAGGTATAATAAACCGATTTCACAATATTTCTAACATTATATTGGCTACACGTGTAACAGACATTGACTTTTATATTACTAGCGTAACAGGCACCTAAATTTTAAAGATTACACAGTATAATATCTATAACCAGGAAAATCTGAGGACCCGAAACGAAATTTTGAAGGTTCATCAAAATCCGGTAAGTTTTTTTTCAGAGCATGACGTAAGTATAATAAGAGTCAAGTTCATTTTTATGACAGTCTTGAAATACCAACAGTTGACAGAGGCTTTAACATAGATAATAATTTGTGGGTTCAGGTCGTTCAGGTCATTGAGTTACAAAACCATAGAGAATATAACCACTAGAGAGCGTATAGGGTATAGGCAGATTTCTTCTAAGCACACAACTCACTATTGCGGGCCGGGGGACGAGGAAGAACGCCAACGCCATCGTTAGGGTTGCTCTTCTTAATAAATAAAAGGAAAACATTCGATATCGATAAAATGGATGTTATTATTATGAAAAATACTCAATTAAAACCATAGAAATAATATTTAATCAAAATCACTCAGTTACAACGAAAACATGTATTTATTATATTATCATTGGTTTTTAAAATGAATTAATTTGTTATATTTATTTCGAATTGAAGTTTAAGGGTCCTGATTGCTCTTTGTAAAAAAATATAAACAAGCGTCTACATATTTGTAAATTATGAATCTTGCTAGTTCAATTAAATGGATTCCATTTCAAAATGATGAAAATGAATATCCGGGAATCAATAATACCTAATCGGAGATTTTAAAACCGATCTTATAAAATAATTGGTATTGTTACGAGTTTGAGGTTCGTGACAATAAAAATTGCCGATAGAATTACCTAAATTAACACTTTAATATTCTTTACACCAATTAAAACTTAAAAGACACTAATAATTAATCACACTGATTCACTTTATTTCGCTCCGAAGCTTCGCTTGTCTCGCCAAATTCAATACTTCCCCGATCGCATCTTGTAGCGCCTATAAATACACATTATCACCGAAACATCCAGAATATTCAAGTAACTACGCGCACCATTCGACAAGGCATCGAAAGTTAGAGTGTCGGTTTCTAGGAGCTTAGTTCTTCGTTTCGATACTAGATGGCGCTGTCGGTTGAAAGATTAGTGATGTCATTTTCTGGAAAGC